GAGCCACTGTCTGAAGCGTCTTTAGGCCATTCCCAAAGGGAGGATATTAACATGTTCTCATGCACGGTAGACTTGTAAGTGGGCTGATTTATCAATGTCATGTTCATACTGTGCTAGAACAACAAAGGAGGAACTGTTGCTTTTTCTTTCCTCGTCTTTACTATCGTCAGTTTTTCCTCTATTTCTTTGGAATGTTTGTCACTCTCTTGTGAACTGTTATTTCCGGGGTGCCTTGATAGTCGAAGCAGACTTTGTGCTGCTGGGGCGAGAGAGGTGAGCAGGGTAAGCCTGATTCCCTGTTTGGACTTTTCTGTTGACATCCACCCCTAGGCGCTCATATGACTTTATGCAGTTGCGAGCGCCGTAAAACCTTATTAAAACAAAACACAAGTGGGCTCATACCTGCACTATTCGATCGCTCAAACACAACATAGTCTCGACCTTTGCTCTCCAGGAAATATCCCATCTGCAGGCCACTGGGTCCAGCCCCGACTACGCAGTAGTCGTGATAGATGCAGGACCGAGCCAGCGGGGCGATGAATGCCAGGAGACAAAGCAAGAGCGGGAAGAGCATCTTTGTTGTACAGGCGCTGTCGTGGGATATCAAAATGCTTTGGTACAAGGTCAGGGATTTGAATTTTGTAACCCCCTCCCTTTCGTAACCCCCCCCCCAATAAAAAACAACTCCCCTCCTCCTCAACAGAACAAAACAAAGCAAACAAAAATAAAACAAAACAAAACAAAAACAATAAAATATCAGCAAACAAAATGACACCCCCCCATCCAACTAAAGTTGTGGAATATTTTACGTGACCCCTCTCACGCACAAAACAACATGAGTGTCAGAACCCTCTTTCAAACCACTCCATCAACAATAAAACCTAATCAAAACAACATCAAAAATAAAAATGATTTTGACCAAATGCATTCCATTAAATGACAAAAAGCACCTTCATTTTTGATACCTTTCTCAAAGGTGGCGTGCTTGCATTAACGTAGAGAAAAATCGAAGAGTTTAGTTTTTCAAAGGCCCCAATCTCGACATAATAGCAGCAGCCTGCCTTTAAAGAACGAGCTATGGAAGACCGATAAATTGCCAGCCAGGCTATAATTCTTTAAGATCAAGAACGTAAAAGACGGCTGAAATTAGAGTTTATGATCGCAAGGCAAGTCATGGTCGCAATACAGAAAGACACTACATCAAAAGACGACACGTTAACATCGTCCATTCCGTGGGGAAAAGTGTTCTTTTTATAATAATTCGAAGGATAATATTTCCAGTATGACGCGAGAAGTGCTGCTAAATTCAAGGGTGTAAGTACCATGCCTTGAATGTGCAATCTTCACAGGGAATACTTTTATAAAGGGGTGGGGTAGGGGGGGATTTTCAGCACCCCCACCCTCATGAGGTGCATGCTACTACACTAGATGTTTTATTAATTTTTTTGATTGCTTTTTTCTATGTTTTTTGTCCCTTGCCCATTTCGATGACATTAACGCCATCGGATTCAGTAGAGAAATATGGGTATGATAGTGTCCAACAGAGTATTTACGAAAATATTTGTTAGAACAAGTAACTTTTACAGATGCAGATAAAAAAATATAGACGCCTGTCAAGGATCTGAGAGCAAGGGGGATTTTAGATAAATTATGGCGGTGTTGATGATGAAGTGAGATAGTGTTTAAGTAAATATTTATTGAAATTGAAGAGATATTCGTTCACTCATAGTCAGCTGAATTTTAAAAAATGTTAGCGTTAGTTCTGTAATATATTACATACACACACACACAAACTGACACACACACACACACATAAACACATACA